TTTTTTTATTGTTTTTAATGGGCTCTCTTTTATGAATGATCTGAGTATCAAAATAGAAACCCACAGTTATAGCCAAAATTATAAAATGTGCTTGGTAATACTCATTTGTGGTGATTTTTAAGAAAAATAACTTAGCTTTATTCTATACATAAAGTTGGTTATTTGAAAGATTTAGTTGCATGTACAGAGTCTTGGATCAGAAATGAAGAACCCTGGGCTCATTTCTTACATAACGTCTGTGGCCAAAAGAAGCCACACATCAAACTTGCACATCAAAGTTTATCCAAATTTGATGGGAAAAAAGACACAAAAAATTTTTACTCCAAAGTGACAGAAAAGGATTTAAGCTTCTAAAATTAAACATTATAAGTTAGTACTCAGGATACTCAGGAAAGGTGAAAGCATGTTATAGGAAAAAGAACTACATGCCAATTCTCTATGAGATTCCCTGCCATTATCTCTAGGGACCCTGTGAAGAACCCCAGCATTGCTTAGTTGTTAGTCTGTTAGATACGTTTACTAATTAAGAATAGTGCGGTAGCCAACACACACTTGGCATTCACTAACAGTTTGAGAGGAATTGGGACACCATATTAATGAATCATAGAAAAAAGGAATTTGATGCGCGCGTGTGTGTGTGTGTGTGTGTGTGTGTGTGTGTAATTGAAATGAAGAAGTGTGGCCACCATTATTTAAATCCAATGTGTCATTTAAAAAATAAGGCTATTCATTCAGGAGAATTACAAGATTGAGCAATGTATACAAGACTCTGTCTGTAACAGTGCTTTGACAGGAGCAGTATCATGTCTAAGGATGCTGTGAAAAACGTGGTTCATTCAACAGTAGGTCTCAGAGATCTGTACATGATGTTATGTACACACACATGTATTTCAAACAGGATGTTTTACTCTTTTGGTATTGTAATTTAAAAAATGAATTTCTACAAAAATAATGGTTTTCTTAGGGCTTCCAAAAAGAATTGGGGAAGAGAACCAGCAGCGTACAGGCCCTGAAACGCTCCGCCCGAGAGCTCGTAGAAGGCAGCCGAGACGATTCCTCCTGGGTCAAGGTTCAGATGCAGGAATTAAGCACACGCTGGGAGACCGTGTGTGCACTTTCTGTATCGAAGCAAACACGATTGGAAGCAGCTCTGCGCCAGGTAAAAGTCATGTAAAGTATAGCTGGGTGTAGTGACAAGGCATTGAAACCTCAGCAAGAACTGGTCTTGTGAAGAACAGTGAAACTCCTCATTTCTTAACCAGGACAGTCATGGAGAAGGAGATTCTTAGGGCCTCATTGCCTTGGTCCTTCCCCCGCTTCCCGGTCCCCTCCTCCAAAATTTTAGTTACCACAGAAGGAGGCTTTCTAATCTGCACTGGCGCTTGAGTAATTTTTCAGCTTGTATGTATAATGGGCTGCCATACATCTGAAATCAGATTGTTCAAATGGTGAATTATTCTTCGTGGAGGCCATTCTGACAGATTAGATGTCTCCTTACATTTGTAAAACACAGTGCCATATGTCTGTAACTTTTTAATGGGAATAGTGCATGTAATCAATCAATTTAAATATAAAACTTTGTTTTCATGGAGAGGAAGGAGCTACTACACTAACAAGCATATTTGGGAATTTTATTTGGGGTGTGTGTGTGTCTGTGTGCACCGTTAGGCAGAGGAATTTCACTCGGTGGTACATGCCCTCCTGGAGTGGCTGGCTGAGGCAGAGCAAACCCTCCGTTTCCATGGTGTTCTCCCAGACGATGATGACGCTCTTCGGACTCTTATTGATCAACATAAAGTGAGTTACATAAATGCGAAGTAAAACTAAATGAGAAACTCCAAGTAGAGAAAATAGACTCATGATTGCAAATATCAACTGCATCAATGTTGTCCTTCCTGAGAAGTAATTAAAGGTCTGGTACATTTGAGAATTTGCCAGTGTCCACTTTGCTTGCATAAGTATGTCCCCATGCACCTATTTTCAGGTATGTGTAGCTATCTTTTTATGTTTCCTTTATAAGGAAGGTGGTTATTCTAAAATTTGTTACTCTGTTTTCTATCATTAGGAAGCACATTGATTTTTCTAGGGGGTTACTTGGCTTCTGACCCAAATTGGTCAACTTTTGCACTTTTATGTGTATTTCAAAGATGAGACTTCCTTAATGAGCAGTTTGACAGAGTTATACCATTAGAATTGTAAATTAATAATTTTGACCTTTGTAAGCAAGAAAAGAAGGTAATTTTATAACTGGTCTTCAAATTTTATTTTTAAGCCTCTTGTCAGTTGTGGTTTTAATCAAGAACCATCTTAAATTCTTTTGCGAACTCTAGTATAAATTGTAAATTTAAAAAAATGAAATAAACAGATATACTATTGAATAAATGAAGTAAAAATCTGGCCATTGAGTTTCAGATCAAGATATTTCCAATGATAATACATAGAACTTGCAAAACCCTTAAGAGAGTGGTTCAGATAGCTCTTAACAGATGTTTTTTAGCCTTTGACTCAGAAAAATCAGGAATTTGCAGTGTTTACACTCAATGTAGTATTGGTGCTCGCATTTCTGATTAACTTGATCTGTTTAACCACTGAGTAACCCCATCTTTCAAGGTTAAGTTGGAAATACATCATTAATTCCAGTGTAGCATGTGTTACATCATCTATGGAGTCTTATTTTAATTACTATGTTCTCTCAATGAAGGGTTATGTAACCTATAGCAATGAAATATTGCCTTGTCATTAATAAAAGTGATGTGACCTTGTATGATATTATCTGGAGGACTAAAATGCTACATACACCATTTAAAGTTGAAGCTAGAAATAAATAAATAAATAAATAAATAATAAAGTTGAAGCTGGAGTGTAAGAGGAGGAAAATTACGTCAAACTTGTAAATTTTTTATTCAGTTCCGTATTTTGAAAATCTAATTTGTATTGTATTACTGTTGGCTAACCAGCAGCCAGCACAGATTCCTCTAATGCACTTAGGTGTAGGTCTCAGAGTAGCCCCTTGTAGCCCAGGGTTCATTTCTAACACCCTACAGAAAGGAGCCCACTTGTGGGGTCACCATCCTCACAGTAGAACCTGGAAACCCCTAGAAACATCAAAAGGCAGATATCCAGAGCACAGGCAATGGTTTGTACAAATACAGTGGGTCTTCCAATAATGTCGTTACGTTACAACATTGATAAGATGCTGTAGGAACTTAACTCTTGTTTATATCAATTAGAGTATGGTAACACTGGTTCCGTTAAGTCATTTTGCTTTAAGTTGGAGAACCTATCGACGATGTTAAGTGAGGACTTACTGTAATTATCTTCAAATATTTTTAAATAGCATAAGCTATTTAAATAACGTGTAATTTTATAAAGGGCTTCTCCGTAATGATATTTTACAGGAACGTTATTCATTCATTTTCATTTCCTTGGCTTCCCTTCATACATTCACCAGTAGGAGAACAACAGAATGTTTTTAACTTGTTTTTTTTTTTAAGATTTTTATTGGGGAATTGGGGGAGGGGAACAGCGCTGGGAAATCTGGAGAAGGGGAGCAGACAAGTTAGAATGTTTTATTTAATTTCTCAGCCACAGGACTAGAGGCTTCTTGGCATAATTCAATTTCTGAAAATAGCGAGCTTTCCAACGTGAGCACAAACCCCTAAAGTAGCACCCAGATGAGACTGGAAGAGCACAGAACATAGAGGGGAGTTGGCAGTTCAGTCCCTAATGTGCCAGCAGGACCAGGCTCTTCTAAGTGTAAGAGGAATTGAAAGTACATGATCACATCAGCTGCCCTCTGGAAAAGTACAGCTGTTATTAACCTCTGGATTTCTCTTTCCAGTAAAGTGTATTGTTCTTTTATTTAAGAGGGTATATAGTCGGGGAAATTAAAATGCAGAGGGTGCCAAAAAATGTATACACGTTTTAAGAAAGGAAAAAACTGTATTAAAATTGTAATACTCAATATATACCGATAACAAAAGATGAATACAAGTCATGTGTACATTTTTTTGGCACCCCGGTATTTTTAGAAGTACGTCATGGTAGTTAAAAAGTAGGTCATGTTAGTGGAGTATGCCGTTAATTGAACCTTGACTCCATAGCTGTAAAAATATGTGACTAAAAGGTTAAAAATCATTTATTCAATCACAAAGACACAGGATTGAGTAAGACACAGTCTTCTGATCCTTGTGGCTCTTAACATCTAGTAGATTTGCATGAAAACAAATAATTTTAGCGCAATGCCTAAGAGGCACATGACGGAGCTGCTTCACGGAGGTTAAAAACAAAAGGTCACTAGATTTTGTAGTGAACAGCTAGCTATATTTTCAGGCGATCACCCCAGTCACATGGCATGAGTAGCATGAGTGTCTGCAGTGTTTGCAGCCTCTGGCGCCCCTTGTCAGTGTGACTAAGGAATCCTCCTTAGCGTGGGGTTTTAGATAGATTGGGGTATTTGTGGATGCTTGAAATTCAGTGGGAGGTTTGGGGAGCACGTTACCTGTTTCCCAGCAAATGTCCTCATTTTTTAACCACCCTTGCAGAGTTCTATGATCCATGTATCTATGGATACAGTTTTGATGGTAGAAAGTACAGTTATGTGTGAGACATTTATAAAAAGGTTGATTCAAAAGCCTTTCCTTGCACCTCTCGAAGCTGATTCATCCTGTTGGGGGGGAGAGCGACTCTTCCCGGCCTTTGAAAAGGACGGTTCTCACACGGGCTTGCCCGTGGTCAGGTACACTCCCTCCAGCCTTCCCGACTTCTCCAGCCACCCCGACACCTTCCCACCTGGACATTTATGCCCTCTCTGCCACACCTGCAGCCCTTTATAGCGTCTTGCCCAGCCTTCTCTCTTCCTTGGCATTTTTGTTTTGTGTGTATTCATATCATTCCTGACACAGTTAATGATATTTTAAATACCTCCTTGTCTCACTTGTTAGAAGGCTTTTTTTTAAATTTAATAATATAATTATAATATATCAAAAATCAGGAGTGTTTTTCTAATATAATTTGTGAAGCATAAGCTATTATCTTATACTTTTATTTTAAAATAACTTGTTAGGAAGTGTATTTCTATTTTTGTCCCTTACCTCCCCAGTTAGTGCATTATTTCCAGCTGTGAAGGAACCAGTTGACGTTCTTATGTACTTGTTTAACTGGCCGTCAAACGAATGTCACCAGAGTCTCGTTTTCAGTCAGTGCCAGCAGCTCATTGAAGTCTTTGTTTCTGCTGTAGGAATTCATGAAGAAACTGGAAGAAAAACGAGCCGCACTCAATAAAGCTACCAGTATGGGAGACGCCATTTTGGCCATCTGCCACCCCGATTCCATCACCACCATTAAGCACTGGATAACAATCATCCGGGCCAGGTTTGAGGAGGTCAGTGTAGTCTCAACTCATCTTTAGAGCAGCAGTAACTTTGAGAGGCGGGGTATGGAAAAGTCAACAGTTACGATGCACTTACAGCCACGGGAGCATGAGGCCTCTGCAGAGGAAGGCGTTTTTTAAAATGCCCTCCTTCTGTGTATTATCAGTCTTTGCAGTCCAATTTCCTTCAAAAAGTTAAAAGGAATTTGAATGTATGTCCCTGAAACATGAAAAGGCAAATACTTGGTTCACTGTACAGATTTTTGTCCCATTTCCACATTGTGTCTTTTGAATAATCAGGGAGTTGCATAATATTTCAGAGTCGTATATGCTTGTGGAATGAATTGCATACACAAAGTGAATTAATTCCGTGTTTAAGATTTTAGCTATTTTAATTTCTACTCTGTGCTGCATGGAGTAAGCATACTTGTTCCTTCAGCAAATGCATATTTGAACTTAAGTTAGAAAGCCAAAGGAAGCCTGGGCAGTTGACATACATCTCTAAACTTCTGACGCTGATGACCATCACAGAGGGCTCCCATATCCTCCACCAGCTGGGTCTTGGTACACCAGATGGGATCTAGAAAGACTGGAAGCGTTATGGGTCTAGCCCAGGATGATCCTAATTTACATTTAAATCCTGTGTATTTTACATCAATTAAATTATTCACTAAGATGGAATAAATTCAAAGAAATGTCTGCTTCTCCAACAGGTGCTGGCCTGGGCGAAGCAACATCAGCAGAGATTAGCAAGTGCTCTGGCTGGGCTCATTGCTAAACAGGAATTGTTGGAAGCATTGCTAGCATGGTTGCAATGGGCTGAAACTACACTGAGTGATAAGGATAAGGAAGTCATCCCTCAGGAAATTGAAGAGGTGAAAGCCCTCATTGCAGAACACCAGGTAAAATAAATATCTCCCTAACACCTGTCTTCTCAGATACTTTCTTTCTTGCACTGCTGTAGTTCTCAAAAGATTGCTTTGTGCTTATTACCTTCACTTCCTCATACACACTCCTCAGCTCTTTCCAACTGGGTTTCAAATTCTACTACTGCCTTAAAACTTTTCTGTTCATAGTTGCTGAATTTTGATGGTCTTGCCTCTTCGTTTCTTAACCTTCCCCAAGCTCATTCCTGTGGCGCTGTCACAGATTGGCTCCCGCCCTACTGCCTGCTTTGTAAATGTCAGCTCTCCTTATGTTATGTCCTCAGCTCTACTCCTTTTCATCCTGCTCTCTCTCTTGTCGATCTCACCCTTCTCTGCTTCAGTGCTCCATGTCTGCATTTTCCACTCTCTTCTGCCAAACATCTCCCATGATGACCATCAGGACTTCAAACAGATATCTGTATCATCTTGCTCCAAAAAATGACTTCTCCTGTATAGTCTACCTGTTTAAAACTCTGAAATTATGGGTTTATTTCTCATTTATTTGTTTGCTTGTTAGTTTCATATACATTCACAAAGAGAAACATTGTATTAGCTTAGTTGGTTAAGCTGTTAACATGGCTATTACATTTAATAAAAGTATAAGATATCAATGTCTGTAAGGCCCCTGCAATGTCTCAGGCCATGTTCTCTGTGATCAGGGGTCTTAAAGTGATCAGAATTCTCCATTGTGACAAATGTTCCAGAAATGTCTCACTTCACTTTTACCTGCGTCCTCCTTTCCCCATCACTTTCACCACAGCCTCTGCTGTTGCCACATATTCTAGATACAAGGATACCTAGTCAGTGATAATTATAAGCCTAAGGAAACGAGATAAGAAATGGTAAGATATTCAGGCCTTTTAAATATACCCTTTAACATGAATTATTTTTACCCTCCTTAGCATATGCATTGACAGAAATATTTAAAATAGATCCACGTTTAATGTGGATACTTTTTGTCACTGTACTTCAAAACCTTCTTAAATATTTCAAATGTGTAGGTGAGATGTGCCACAGAAGAGTCCTTGGGACCACCTCAGTTAATGAGCTCCTTTGCAGACAAATGCTCACTTTAAGACCCTTCAGGAAGAGCTTGGATGCTTGATCCTGGTTGGTACACGGTGCAGGTTTTGTTATTCAAACACAGCCTCTCCCCTGTGGGGTCTTCAAACTAAAACAAATTACTTTTGTAATGCTGTAATTACTTACCAGCCATATAACATTTAGTGTTCTTTAGAAATGAGTAAATACTATGTTATGATGCTTTAGATGTTTTTTCCCCTAAAGATAAAACATGATGGCATATTGTTTTTTCAGTAATTGGGTTGTTGGAAAAGTCATGATGCATTTTTGCAATGAAATACATAGAAAAAATACATAGAAAAAGTCATGACTTTTCTGACAACCCAATAACAGGGTCCTTTTATCCTTTTGTATTTAGTTCATTTCTAAAAGTGGTTTTCTCTGCTATACTTGGATTTAATTGATATCATTTCTTTCATTTCAGAGCTTCATGGAGGAAATGACCAGAAAACAACCTGATGTGGATAAAGTCACCAAGACCTACAAGAGGAGAACAGCTGATCCTCCCTCGTTACAGTCCCATATTCCAGTCTTGGATAAGGGACGAGCAGGAAGTAAGCAGTGACCACTTTCTTTAAAATGAACATAGCTAAGCAAGGAAGCTGGTTTTCTTTTATTGTGATTTACCATACAAAACTTCAGAGCAATCGGTGATTCCGACATGAGCACTCTTTCATAAAAGGTTTTCTTGAAAGAAAATGTGGGTTCAAGTTCTGTAGCAATTTATTTAAAAATAAAGAGATACATCCAGGTCTCTATATATCATTTCATTTGCTTGAAGTGTATCTTTCAGATTAGCTAGAAGAAACTGAAAAATTGGCAACAAGAACAGAAATCATCAGCCCTTTTGAATGGTCTCATTTTGCATCTATTATATAAACAACCTCAAAGTGGAATGGAACAGAAATGACCATGACCTGGATAAAGATTATGACTAACTGTTCATTTGTGACCAGCAATCTGATAGGTTTTGCCCATGTTCATATGACTTCAGGCTCTCTTTACTTCTCCGGCTGCCTTGACGCAGTAAAGTGACATTAAAAACAATAGCTTGGAGAAGGTTTAAAAGAAGCTCAGTTTATATCATACATTTTATATATTTCTGAATGATGCCTTAATAAAAAAAAATTGGTTTCAGATCTATTGTGGTTAATATGTTGCAGAAAGTGGCAAGGAAACAAAGTGGTTAAGAATGCTAGGGACAGACTCCTTAGCTGTCCCCACCAACTGGGAAATGTAACCTTGGAGGGGTTACTTAAACTCTCTCTGAGCTTCAGTTTTCTCATCTGTAAAAGGAGATGATTAGAACCTCATTGGGCTGTGGTGAGGATTAAATCAGTTCATGTGTATTAAGTGCTTCGCATACTTTCTGGAATATAGTTAAATGCTCAATAAATATTAGCCACTGATGTGTTTATACATGTAAAACCCTAGATTTAGGAATTCTAGGCAAGTCCTAGCTTGGACAGCGACTTCCTGTATGACCTTAGGCCAATGATTTTTCTAGGCCACATTTAACTGTTTAGTTCACTGAGGAAAATGTATTGAGATAATTGTTCTGGGAAGTTACAGAAACTTGTGAAAAATAGCCAGACAGAGGGAAAAAAACATTAGTAAGGTAGGAAATTGGGGTGTGAGTATGCATAGGAAACACCCAATCTCAGTGGATAATGGACTTGGATGAAAGCTGGGATCCTACACACACTTCCATGTTTGATTGGAATTGTAGAGTCTCTTGCTCTGATTAAACAATTGCCCAGTGTCTCTTGGCCTCACCTGCGCTCCTTTCGGCCTTATTTTCTAAGAAGGGCAGCTAGGTTTATATAACTGATTCTAAGCTACATCTCACTGCCCTTGGAGATTTCTTTTATCATTCCTTAACAGAGAGGAAGATCACAACATACTTTGTGGTCACTGACGTGGCATGGATTGGAAGCTGGAAACCGATTTAAACATAAATTTATTGAGAGAGCTTTCCAGCATTTAAATGCCCCTGCCAAGATATATTTCTCTAATTTACATGAAGAGTAGGTGACCCTTAATAAGTAAAACGAATTTGTACCTTGACATTCTGCATCCCCTAAGTAGGATGTTTCTGTGGATAATACCCAGTAATTAAGTTGACCCGGTCTTAGCTAGGAACAACAATGGCCAAGCCTTATCGTGTTTCAGAGTTCTGGACACTGCCATCCTAACTCAAGTTATATTTCAACAGGAAAACGCTTCCCAGCATCAAGCCTATATCCCTCTGGATCACAGACACAAATCGAAACCAAGAATCCCAGGGTCAACTTATTGGTGAGCAAATGGCAGCAAGTCTGGCTCCTCGCGTTGGAAAGGAGGAGGAAGTTGAATGACGCCTTGGACAGACTGGAAGAGGTGGGGAAACTCATGTATATTCAGCACCGTATCATCATTCACCATGACACAGGGCCCAAATTCTTGATTTTTCAACTTCCCTGATCATAGATAAGCAAACTCTGGCTATTTGAGTGCATATTTTATTTCTAAAGTTAATACCACGAGTATGTACATTTTGTGTGTGGAGGGTATGTGTGAAGGGGGGGAACCTGATATATGGGACTTGGATTTAGGGAATCAGTAAAGTAGGAAACGAATACATTTTAACGTAATCGGAAGCCGGCTCAAGAGAAGATCTAGCTTGACATATGTTTCCTTGGTGGTATTAACTGGCAAATATAGCCATTTACAATTCAGATATTTTCATTATATGTATTGTATGATCTGAGATTTAGAGTTTCAGGTTCTGAAATTGGGGAGTTTTGAGAAGTCCAGGGGAGTTAGAACAGCAAATAGCAGAGAGTGAGGGGTTATGTAAGTGCTGTTGAGCTGGGCCTGCTAGCCGGTGAACGTAGGACTTACTAGTGTGTTACACTGCGGCACACCACAACTTTTGTGACTTTGGCACTCTCAGAAATTTTCACTTTGACTTTTTGAGAGTGTTATTCATTTCCTCTATTTGTAAAGGAAAACCAGTGACAGCAATGAAATAAAACTTGACAGGGAAAAATGTTTCTGACGAGTCCCCTTTGCAAGATCATACCTTTCTTTGAAGTGGGAAAGCTATGTGTATTATCTAGAGAATCATTCAAAATAACATCATTCATATAGTATAAGATACAACTTGAGCACAACATTCACTCAAGCAAAACACCATCTGCACTTTTCAGCTGAGGGAATTTGCTAACTTCGATTTTGATATCTGGCGCAAAAAATACATGCGATGGATGAATCACAAGAAATCTCGGGTGATGGACTTCTTCAGGAGAATTGATAAAGATCAGGATGGGAAAATAACTCGACAAGAATTTATCGACGGGATTCTTTCCTCAAGTAAGTCCCAAGAGAAGTGACTGAAACTGATGTAATTTTTTAAAGAAAATAAGCACAGTGTAAAATTGTGGGGGCAGTACGCTTGTGTTCCTAATAAAGCATCGCGTTTAAACTGGGCTATAAAGTCACCAAACAAAAAAAGTGTCCTTGGTAAAATGTATAGCTTTGGAGTCAGGTGCACTTAACTGATTGTGTAACCATAGCTTCCTTCACACGACTGAAGCTGTAGCCTCAGTATAATAAAGTTAGTAGCATTTGATTCTAAATTATTTGTGTTGCCTGGCATATAATGGGAAATCAATAAATGCAAATCAGTCTCTTTTTCATTCTAATTCACGTTCTGATCTAACATTGTCATTAGTAGGAAATTAGAACTCTACAATATAAACATCTTCTTGTTTGATGGTTCAGTCATGTGTGTATGTGATATCTCTGGTATGTGTTACTGGAAATCATTCTTAAAATATATTTCATATAAATTATTTCTTAAATAAAGTGGTAGTTGAACCATGTGACATTTACTAAGATTAAACAGTTTTCAGCCTAAAAACCCAGCAATTTCAAATGATTCAACCCAGCAGTAACTAAAGATAAATTTAGGTCACATAATAGTGGAATAATTTATGATGTAAATCAGTTTTTTAAAAAGGACTTTAATATATTTGCTGACCCTGATAATTTAACCAGCCACATTAAGATTAAAATGCACAGTCGAGAATGCCTTGAGGCAGAATTCACAAGTTACGCTATTTACTTTTTTGTTAAAGACTTAATCTTTTTGTAAAATTTTATCATAAGTAGCAGGCCTTATAAACTTTCATTGGGAATATTTTATGGCTTATTCTGAGAGTATCTTAATTATCACTTATATGTGGAATCTAACTAAAAAGTGAAACTCACAGAAATAGTATAAAAATGGTTTGCCAGGGGCGGGAGGTGGTGGGGACAGGAAGAGGTTGGTAAAACGGTACAGACTTTCCGCTGTAAGATGAATAAGGTCTGAGGATCGAATGCGTAACATGGTGACTGGAGTCGAAAACGCTCTATTGTACAATTGGAATTTGCTAAGAGAGTGGAACTTAAGTGTCCTCACCAAAAACAAAAAGATAAATATGTGAGGCGATAGATGTGTTAATTAACTAAATGGGAGGAATCCTTTCCCAATGTATGCTTATATCAAATCATTGCAATGTACACTTTAAATAGCTTACAATTTTGTCAGTTATACCTCAGTAATGCTGCTTACTATTGTTTTGAAAATTTTAGAGTTCCCAACCAGCCGCCTGGAGATGAGTGCAGTTGCAGACATCTTTGACAGAGACGGTGATGGGTATATTGATTACTATGAATTTGTAGCCGCCCTTCACCCAAATAAAGATGCATATAAACCTATCACTGATGCTGACAAAATCGAAGATGAGGTACTCATTATCTTTCCACCCCCTACAACAATAATACTGTAGTATGTTCTGCCCAGATAGCATGCACAATTCATGCAGCCACTTTATTGATCTCCACGTTTAGTAGTTGTGTCAAGGTTTAAAGGCTTCACTATGTAATATTAACATTAAAGTGGATATCTCATTGTTTTTGGCAGGTGACAAGGCAGGTAGCTAAGTGTAAATGTGCAAAACGATTCCAAGTTGAACAGATTGGAGATAACAAATACAGGGTAAGTTTTCAAAATAACCTTGGAGTTCTTTAAAGGATAAAAATGTACAATCTGTATATAATTTGATCTGCGTTGTTTCCCAGGAATGCTAAATATTTACTTTTACTTCAGATCAAAATTTAATGGCATATGAATTTCTAATTCCTGTCATTTTAAATTGCATAAAAATAGCCTGCATTTTGTATATAATGACATATCTTTGACATGTACAACATGTACATTACTTTTAAGGAAAAAGTATTCACAGGAAAACACATCTCATATTTACTGTGCTTCATATTACTTTGTAATATAATTTTTTATGATTAGAGGTAAGTTTTCATATTTCCAATAACAAAGCTATGCCAAGTCAGAACCATGAAGTTAAAAATGGTGACTCATTTTTATAAATATGAAAAGGAGGCAATGTTTTTCGCTTGTGCGGTGACTTTTTCCCTTTTATTCAGTATTCAAAATCTCAATAACTTGGTTCACCTTCTTCAAAACAATTACTTGAAGACCAGTGTGACTTCATCACTCTTTCTCTTTTTTTCTCTTTTTTGGAAAATCTCTTATACGTAGTAGCTAGACCGGAAATGTGCTGCGTTTCCCTAATACAGTATATTACTTACAAATGAAACGTTCATTCCTATTTGTATATTTCCACATTTAAAATTATTCATCTAAGTATTTGAATTTTTAACTCACATTTGAAACAAAGATTTTTTTAAAAAATTAGTATAGAAAAATGTTTTGAATATCAGGTTTGAAATTGGAAACCTGCACATCTCTAAACTAGATACTATATCTAGAAGCCAGGAGTGTGAGTGTGAGTGTGTGTGTGTGTGTGTGTGTGTGTGTGTTCTAGAGCCATATGGAAAGTTTTCTGTTGAACTAATTATATCTTTCTTCCATTTTTCATTTTTTTTTTTATCAGTTCTTCCTGGGAAATCAGGTATAAACCAGTGGAATGTATTCTCAAGTTCCCAATGATTTTTTTTTAAACTTTAATTCATAGTCATTACAGCTTGCCAATGGCCAATCTTTCCCATGCTGCCCCCCTAGCTACTACATTGTTGGTTGGCGTGGTGTTTCTGTAAACGCTATTAAGGGTCCTTGATCCAGGATTCCTTTTTGCCTTGTGTCTCAAATGAGGAGATTACTTTTAAGCAAACCAGATAATGAATTGTAGCGTGGCTGGTAGCCATGTTACAAATACAATTTTCAGTCCCCATTTTTTATAATACTATTCGTATATATTTTATGCAAGTACTCACTGGAACACACATCTCTATATAGCCTCATTGGTGTTTGAACACTGAGAACGAATGGGATACGGTAGCTAGACAAGGATCAGCATTGGGCAGTGACATGGAAAGACAGAGCAGTGAGCCGTCTCCATGGCACTCAGCCACACGTGATGTGCTCTCTCCAAAGCAGCTATTACTGTCCATTTGTTCTAAATCATTGATTTAGGGCAGTACATCCTCTGAGTGTAAATTTTAACCCTGGAGGTTTTGAATGGTTACTCCTTTTGAGGAAATGAATGTATCTCTTGTAACTTATACGGAATCTTGAAGTCTGTCTTTGTGCCATTTTGACCTCACATTTAAGTGACTATAAACTGTTCGGTGAAACTGCACCATGATCAGAGTTTTAGAACTAAAGACAAGAGAAACTGTGTTTTGATTTAAACAAGGAGAAGAGTTTTTTACTGTTTGCTTTTGGAAAGAACTGTGCTATTCATAGTACCTGACTATATCATATTAGATATTACTCTGCCACTGTTTTTAAGCCCATATTACATCTTAAGCTTCAGATTACTATGATTCCCCATTTATTGCAAGCACATAATTTATTTCAAATAGAAATTTCAGTTACTTTGAATAGTGGTTTTTAAATCTTCCACTAGTTATCATACATAATTACTTTTCCATCCTTATTTTCTGAGTTAGCAATTGGGATAACACCTTTTATTTGTGGAGAGAATGTAACACTCAGCCTCAAAAGGTTTTCTTCACTGAAAGCACAAAGAACAACATCAGTCTAATTTTTCTTGTCACACAGTTTGGATCTTGGGGAAATTCTGAAGACAATGTTAGTTGTCTCGAGAATGCCTTCTTAAAATAAAATTTAAAGTCATTCATATTTGTTAGAATCGAAGTTTCATCTGTATAAAGCACTTTATTTAGTTCCTTAAAAATTTTATTTTGAACACAATCTTGGACCAAAAGTGTCTGGTCTAATTATCTGGTTCCTTAAGGGTAATTTTCTTTAAACCCCTTCCTTTCCCTTTGCTTATTAGCAGCACCAAATTTTTTTCTAACAAAGTAAATATATATTTTGATTTTTACATTTTGATTACATTTCAGGAACAGGTTCAATTATAGGAAAGTTTAAATCTCAAGGCTTAAAGGTGGACCTAGAAATAGCAATGTAAAAAGGTTTGATGTAAAATGCATGAGTTCCTGCTGGAACTAATTTTATAGGTCCTTCTGAGTTTCAGGGTCTTGAATGGTTGGCTTTGTTTTAGGTTTTGCTTCCTGAAACTCAGTGGTAAAGCTTATTGAAAAGTAGCAGATTGTTTCTACTTAAAGTTTTCTGTTTATCCATCATGAGCCCAGACAAATAGTCAGTCACAATTGTATTTTACCTGCTTTAAAAAAGAAGCTATTTATGTTTAATTGACTGTTCATTTTGCTATGGTATCTGCTGGGTTGGCAACCGTGAAATTCAGTGTGGTGGCTTTTATATGTTGGACATGGGCCTATTAGAAATGATTTAAAAGTATAAAATCATTTCTCATGGGCTTTCAAAACACATAAACTTTATGATCAGAAACTACCTGTAGTCTAGACATTTATTCAGGACTTGAGAATTTATAGCACATTCAAGAGATTGGAGATCCATTGAAAGGGCAAGAGGAAGACAATTGCTTATTAGTGTCAGCAGTTGTGAGAACAGCTTTAAGAGAAAGCCTTTTAGATTTGAAAGCTGTATCATTAATAATGTCAGCAACTATTCTAATATTACAGTAATCTAAAACGGCACATTAACCAGTCTTTAACAAATTGGTTTGCCAGATCATTAGTGATGCAGAACTTTTATTTGGCTGTGAAAATTTTATTTTTCATGTTCACTTATTACTTTATATCCCTAAGTCAAAATTGCTCTTAGAGAAAACAAAATGAGTTTATGAAGATTTCTCCCACAGAATTCAGTGGCAAACAGTTTTAGTGTAAGAGGAAGTTTTAATGAAGAATCAGAGTTTATTTGACTTTCTTTAGAATCATCTTATTTTGTATAAATCCTGGGCGAGTGGACCAGTGCTTATTTTCATGGCTGTGTTTAATTTCTAGAAACATTTTTTTCAATCACCACCTTACTAATGTTGTGTCTATCATAAAAAGAAAAATTATTTTTAGAAGAAATCTTTAATATACTTGATAACCTTTGTTATCTTTTTCACACTGTTTCCTTTGGGCTAAATCAGCATGCAGCAGCCTAACGCAGATCATTACAAACCCCTTTTTCTGAGATTTTACTAATCGCTGTGAACTAAGCAAAAAGTTAAAGTTGGTTGCTTAAGCTTCTACAGATTACACATCATCCTTGAGTTTAGAATTACTGTTGACAATTAGAGGTTCTTCTTTCTTCATCTTCACAGTTTGGAGACTCCCAGCAACTGCGACTTGTTCGAATCCTCCGAAGCACTGTGATGGTTCGTGTTGGAGGTGGATGGATGGCGCTTGATGAATTCTTAGTGAAAAATGATCCTTGCAGGGGTAAGGAGATAATAATGTCAAGATAATAACACCATAAAAGTATATCAACTTTGTATTATTTCCCAGTATCAAAAAACATACTTGGATATAATTTTGGTCATTTATTACAATTGTGAAGGTTTCACATTGGCCATTCAGCCTGAAAGTTCCCAGAGAACTTGTGGCAGTCATGGAAACCATGTTCTTCTCATTGTTTTTGTTTTTTTTTTGTTTTTTTTTTACTTCTCTGGGATAAATATGAGACCGGTGGGCAGGAAATACTAGAATAGATTTTCTTCATGAGATGCCCCCTTCTGCAATTTTCAAAATGAGCAATCACACCAACCAGGGAAAGGATTTCATGTGTTATTAAATAGAAAAGTAAGAGGAAAGAAAATGAAGGTGATGAAAACTGAAGATAATGAATAGTGAAAGTTTTTATGAATTTATGGGGAGATGAGGGAAGCAATATTTAAAAATTAAAAAAAATAACTACTGACTTGACTCTTACTTTGAAGTTGCAGAGTAAAGCATTAAAAATATAAACATAGAATAGTATAGCTCTCTTCATATGTACCAGTCAAAGAGCCCCTTGGTTAGCTTTTTAAATTTTCCTTATTTTTCAGATCCTATCGTCAATTTTAGAATTCTTAATTGAGTACCTTACAAGTGGTCATCTGATTACAATTTCTAGTTAGCTGCCATTTACTCAGTAGGCCCATTTTTCTTTGAAAAAAACAAACAAGAAGATTTTTGTGATTTTTCTTAAACCTGTGAGCTCCTTTTAATCCTTTTCAACAAACAATGACAAATGTTTGAGCCAGCACTGTTAGGCTACCAAGTGGGAGGTCAGGGTTCCTCCAGCAGGCCTCCCGTTTCAGTGCTGGCATCTGAATACACAGGTATATCAGAGTGAGCTCCTATGCTGTCACAGACCTCCTTCTCGGCCAAGGCCACCACGGCTTGTTAGACAACCCTACCCAGAAACTTTGCCCTCTGCAAGTCAAAGATAAAACCGCAAAGGAGTAAAATGACAAAAGTTCCCTTTTTGTTTTATATTTTGAAAATAAGGCAGCCTAAGGTAACATAGCTCCATTTATGAAACAAATTAGAACATGTAGCGTTCTTTGGGCGGCATAGAAAAGCTAGCGTGCCTGTGGCAGAGTCTCCCTAAAACATTTTTCTTCTTGAGTCAAACCTTTGAGTGCTTTTCCTGATGCAACTGTTCTTCTCAATTGTGTGCTAAACGCCTGATCTGAGCACTCTTTGCATATTCAACTGCTGTACTGTGTTTCTTCTCCTGCTAACAGTATTCTTTAACGTGATTGGTATCCTGTGTCATTTTTTCTAGTTCATCATCATGGGAGTAAAATGTTACGTTCGGAATCAAACTCTTCAATTACCACTACTCAGCCTACTATAGGTTGGCAACCCGTCTCTTTGCCTCTCCCCTCTTACTTTTTCTCTTTCCTACTTTTACATTTCTCGCTTTAATTATTTGTTTTAAAATAACATGCTCCATCCATCGCGTATGGCTTAACTCATATCCAGCTGAGCTGGTGCTTCCAAATTTAAGTTCTGGAAATTTCACACGCTTGCGGTGTGTTGCACACCTAGGTGTTGAAGAAGTGATCGAACACATGCTAACACGTGGCTCATTGGGTTCTCGTGGCGTGTTCTCCATGTGCACATGTGTTTGTATGAGTGCTGCATCACTGATTACCTCACGGATTCTTGGGTCTGGTGTTTGTTATTGCATGTTGGTTAAAACAGAGTTTTTCAAGGCATAGCGTAAAAAAAACACTAGCCGCCTCATATCAGTGAAAACCCGGAAAGTTTTATATGTTGTCACGGTGATAAACAAGCCATCTCTCGTTCCATGTAATTCTATCGTTTAATTAATCCCAATGTTCAGATGCTGGCATTCTCCTTACCTCAGTAGGACATGCAAAAGACACAGTCCCTGCTTTACTGGCTTGTTTTCCCAGTGTGGGGGAAGGGTAATGAACCCATGTGGGCATCAGTAGCTGATGGATTAACAATATTTTAGCATGAGCTTTCCATTTTCATGCCAAGTCTTTCTTTAATAGTGGTTATTCTGGCTGGTGTCTAGTGTTAGAATAAACACACTTTTTTTTTTCCTTTCCCAAACTTACTTGTATCCAAAAGGAATGCATTGTAAAGGAATGCATTTTCCTTTTTGTTATGCTGAGTTGGGAGTTGGCATGGCAAAAAGATGTTCTTGAAATCCTCAACGTATCTGTGGATCCAGGTGGTGGTTCTTCCCACACAAAAAAATTGAGCACCTTTTTTCTCCTTCCTCTTTTGTTTGTGTGCACTGTTGTGTGTTACTCAATCCAGCTAAAGGAAGGACCAACATGGAGCTTCGGGAGAAGTTCATTTTAGCAGATGGTGCCAGCCAGGGTATGGCTGCTTTCCGACCCCGGGGCCGAAGGTCACGGCCTTCGTCGAGAGGAGCTTCGCCCAACCGATCAACTTCTGTGTCCAGTCAGGCCGGCCAGGCGGCCTCCCCACAGGTCCCTGCCACCAGCACACCCAAGGTAGGACTCAGGCATGAAACGTTTTCCTTCTTCTATACAATCAATGTCTAGAGTATACTTTTGAGTGTTTCAAGACCCTAGAATTTGTAGGACCACATTACTGTATTCCTTCTCACAACATGGCAAATAAAGGGTTTTTTTGTTTTGTTTTGTTTTTTTAAATGTATGCTTTTTCCCTTATGGTCCATTTAGGGACTATCTATTCAGGTGCTTTGGTTACCTTTCAGATTGTTTTTTTCTTTTTAAAACTTCATTTTTATTTATTTTTTATTTTATTTTATTTATTTATTTTTTGATGTGAATGATTTGCCATCAAATCTTTCCACTTATTTTTAATTATTATATTCTTACTGTGAAATGTTACTCTTTGCTATGAATATCTCTTTCTGTACCTTTGGTTTTTTTTTAATCTGGTTTCCTTTACATTTGATTTGCCATTGTTCCATACAGATTCTCCATCCTTTAACACGCAATTATGGTAAACCATGGTTGACAAACAGCAAAATGTCAACTCCTTGTAAACCAGCAGAGTGCTCAGACTTTTCCGTGCCATCTGCAGAGGTATCGTAAGGCCCCAGACTCTAGTCTAACAGTCGTCTTTAATTGAAACTATCACCCACTAACACTGCTTAACCTCTCCCCTGACATATGTAATTTTGATAAGACTATGTCTTTTTATAGACTTCTATAAAGTATCAACCCAGCAATTCTTGAAAAACATGGGACTAAGGGGTTAACCAGAAAAGACAGCTTTAGTTTCTTGAACAGTGTCAGCTTAACAGAGTCAAACCTGTAGGAGCTATACTGCCTTTGTTTTTCGTCCTCTTACTCATGCTTAATTTTACTTTTCTCTTCTTGGGAGAGTGAAATACAGGAGATTATATCCAATCTGAAGTAAAGTATATTTTGTAGCGGATGGTATGCATTTGCTTGCATAATTCAGGCAAGAAATGCAACCAGTCCCCTTTAGGTGAGAATGAGAGGCAGTAGTATCATTTACAAGAGAGTCACTTAAATTAAAATAATATTTATTGAGTGTCCACAACGGGCAAGGTCGCTCTGAATGTCTGTTACATTTATTTCTGCCAATGAACACTTTGTGGGTAAGATGTAAGCCTTTTAGTTATCAGAGCAGGGGGTTGGGGAGCTTAGGTGTACAAAAAGTTATCTCTCATTTTCAAAATTGTTAGACTCTAATGTTTATTATTATTCAAGCAAATCCAAGCTTTTTAATATGGCGTGATATATGGGGATATTTAGGTGGTACAAAATTTTCCAAGATTAACACATATATCAGATCATTCATATTCAGTTGAAAGTCAACCATATATCTTTTAAAGCAACTTCTCTGTAACGTGATAAACATAGGCACCAAATAATCACATATTTTATTAGAAAGAATCATAATAATTAGGGGAAAAATCCCTAACTAGCTTTTCTTGACTTGAAGGAGGTATTTCACGTTAAAGGCCAGGACCTAGGTTTAAAGCGATGCAGTGCTTTTAGAAAGTCCTTTATGCTTTTTTAAAACACTTTCTTATCTGTTATTGAATCCTTACATCAATAAGAGGTAGGCAGAGAAAATTTCATTACCCTCATGCCTCATAGGGAAGTGATGGAAATCACATTGGTGATAGGCGTAGAATTGGGGCAGAAACACCTCATTCTTTAACTCTTCCTCATTCCCCCAATCCCTCATTTCTACTCCTTCCCTCAAGTGGGAAATGCTAGTATTATATGTTATTACATCTAGAGATGTCTATCACTTACGATGGATCTCTTGTAGCAAAAACTGAGAACAGTTTCAGGAACCTCAAGCAACATGTTTGTTTTAAATATTTAGGGCTATGCTGCTATGTTAGTTCAAATTTTTTAAAAGCACAGAGTCTCCAAAATTAAAGTCTAATTATGCTATTTTGACTGGTAGAAAACTATGTTTCATTTCAAATAGCCTCATCAGACAAAAAACAACCAAACAAACAAAACAACAGTATACTTTTATAGCAGTGTCTTTAAGACTACTAGGTGGGATTTGTGACAATAAAATCAAAATAACCAAGGTGGTCTGAGAAGAATGATTTTGGGTCTTCCATGAATTCTGGCACCTTGAGTGATATATGTCATAATTATGGGTCCTCACTCTCTCATGGATTTCTGAGATACTTAGGAATTTAACTAGATCAGATCAGAGTGTCAGATCTTGTGCAAATCACTTCCCTTGCAGGCCCCCATTTGTTAAAAAGTTGTGATTAGGTGAGTGGGAGGATTGGGAGGATTAATTATGGTTATATATGTGAAAGTATTTTGAAAACTTCAGTATTATATGTATACAAATCATATAAATTCTATACTTAAAAATATGTATAGAATACATATGTAAATGAATTATCAATATTATATTAATATTCACATTTTGCAACTCTCATGTTTTAAAAGATCTTACATATGCTTTATTAAACATTTAAAACTATTTAACAAAGGAACAATTGATTTTTTAATGTCTCTATGAACTCCTATAAGAATTTTTTTTTAATTATCCCCAAATGTTGCCTAGATATCTTGTATGTGAGGACCATAGAAGATGATAGATAGAGCCAGGAAATGAAGTGGCATTGTACCAAGTTTATAAAACTTTTTTGTTGTTGTTGTTGCAGTTAAGTTTGTTACATTATGGCTATCAAGGCTTTCCTTATTTACTTGGTGTTCTACATCCGTTGATTTCTGCCCAGTTTCCTAAAAGCATTGGTGGCAGCAGAATATCCAAGCACAATTTTACAGAGCCCCGTCTTCTCTTTATACTGTGCAGGCACCATCTTTTTACCAATACTCTCTTAATTCTGTAATATTCACTGACAGCCTGGAAGCTACTAAAGTACTCACAGTTTAATTGGTGTTTTTTTTTCCCTTGGGGATCTCCATTTTTGTGTTTTCTCTTCAACATGAATTCATTTTCTTTAGAAGCTTCCCTTTGCATTCAGGGAGAGAATAAGAAATTACTGGAGACAAGCAAGGGAGAACCCCATGCCTCATTTAATTGAAAAATGTCTTCCCCTCCACCCCCTGAAGAGGTCTAGTAGAGGGTTTTCACCCATCTGTTAAGTGGCGTCCGTAGAATATCATGGAACAGGAGCAATATCTTGAAATGTCCTTTCACTTGTTAAATACAGGGAACACCAATACAAGGCAGCAAGCTTCGACTTCCGGGGTATTTATCAGGGAAAGGCTTCCACTCTGGGGAAGACAGTGGCTTGATAACAACTGCAGCCGCCAGAGTCCGAACACAGTTTGCTGGTGAGTACGGTGCATTTCTTTCTTTAATGGCTTTTGCAGTATGCTCTGAAGATTAAATTCCTAATTGGGGAAGAAATTGAGAATTGATGATGCTGTATTCTTTTGGAATGACATGTAGCCCCAGTCTTCCAACAAAAGTAGGGGATGAGTGAGTCATGGGGGTGACTAGAAAATCCCTTTTGGAAAGTACCAAAGAAAGATGAGACAATGACCATAGAACAGAAGAAAAAACTACAACAATATCCTACTCCTTCAAGCTGGAAAGTCTTGATTCTTTTGTCTGCTTGGAAATTCTGCAGGGCTCTATTTTGGGTGGTTGGGAAAACCCAGCCATGTTGGGCCTTACACCAGTGTTTCTCAGGTTTCTTCACAGAACAGTGAACTAAACCCCTGGGGTTCTGGGCTCAGCAAGCATGAAGATTTCTTAAAGTTTCAAGTCTTTTAAATGCCTGTGTGTTTTGAATTACTTTTTCTTGGGCCAGACTGGCACCTAAGAGTTTGCTCCATGTTTGCACAGCACACATGTGGTGTACACACTAAACTTTGGAACTCGTAATCTTAATTTATAGATATATTCCTTATATCTGTTTGTAGTAAATGGGATCCTGTTTTAAGTGGGGTAAGCCCAAACCTACCTCTTGTTGTAAATCTAGCTTTTTGTATACTGTGTCTACTTAGAATGAGGCCGCCTATGCTTGTGGAATGGAGAAAGACCATGAAGCCACAATATTTCCTGACTGCCTATTAGGTGTCAAGAAAAACCATTGAGATTAAAAGCGGCATTAGGTTTCAAGAGTCTGTTGCAAATGGACCCAGTGATAAGGGTGATCCATCTCTGCCCTTTTCTCCTCAGATCCCAAGAAGACTCCCAGCCGACCAGGAAGCCGAGCCGGAAGCAAGGCTGGCAGCAGGGCCGGCAGCAGGGCCAGCAGCCGCCGAGGCAGTGATGCATCAGACTTTGACATTTCAGAAATCCAGTCCGTGTGCTCAGATGTGGAGACTGTCCCTCAAACACACAGACCTACGCCCCGAGCAGGTTCTCGGCCATCCACAGCCAAGCCTTCAAAAATCCCCACACCCCAGAGGAAATCTCCTGCCAGCAAATTGGACAAATCCTCAAAGAGATAGTGCAATGGGTTCCACCAAGGCCCTTCCTTGAGCATTTATTATTTAAGTTTGAAAGATGTAAAATATGTAGAAATTATTGTGAAATATTGCAAGAAGTGAGTTTAAAATTCTGCAGATGGCCTTATTTGTGTATTTGTCTTTTTATTTTATCTGTATAATTTTTTTTGTCAGACATTATGGGGTTAAAGTCACATCATATGTGAGGGGAAGATAGAGTTTAACATGCACTAACATTTCTGCACTGTAATGTGTGGAGCACACACTAAAAGCAATTCCTGTACCTACAGGTAAGTCTACATCCTCTCTGACGGCTGAAGCACTACATCAGTAACTAATATTAAGGATACCTCATGACATTTTCTTCCTTTCTTGGAAACTCTGAAATGCCGAAAGACACACACAAGGGATGTATTTTGAGATGATTTAAATGTAAACTAAAAGATGATGGAGGGCAGAAAGACAAGTGTATCACGCAGTTTTTGTTAAGCAGTATCAGACAGAGAACTCATGGGAACTTACTTTAAGCCCTTGCCAGTGCTATGGTATTCAAGGACCTGGCAGCATTTCTGTGCCATTGTTTCACAGGAGGCCAGAGGTGTTCTGGATATTAGGCCTATTATACTGTAAGACTATAATTATAAAGTGCATTCATATAAATGTGAGGTTTTCTTTTGCTTGAGTGGACAGTAGCACCTGTATCATTGAACTCATTTTGTATCAGAGCAATTTTGCTTGCAGAAAGCTATGAAATAAAACATGTCCCTTAACTACATTGCTATGGAATTAATTTTTTTCCCCAGGGAAAATCAGTGTATTTTTTTATGAGCAATATCAATTTGGAGTGACCAAAAGATACTTAAAAATGGGTTTATTTTGATTTCTCATCTGAAATAATCATGTTCTGGTATTATATCTATATTTAATAAATATATACATTTTAACTTATTATGTATACTCACTATAGAAAGATATTAGTATGCATTTAATAAAACATATTCACTTGAACACATGGAATACCTGATTATTTAAAGTGAGCTTTTGCTGTTGTTTTTTGTTTAAAATTAAGGTTATATGTATGATATATTTTTACTAATAGTATAACAGGCTAAGTTTGGGGGACATTAAACACAGGAATATATTATTATAATAAATATATAATAAAAATTACATTAACCACTCATTCTGCAAATATTTTGAATTGCCAACCATGTGCCAGCCAGTAGGTGACCCTGAGGCTACAAGGTCCCTGCCTTCCTATATTTGAGGGGAAAACAGTTAAACAAATAACTAAAAAAAACCATGAACTGAAACCACGAGATGTGTGACTGATTTTATAAAGGAAATATAGTGATATTCTTCTGGTGTCTGTACCTTTAAAAATCAAATGATGGAATTTTCCTAAATATAAAAATGGCATCAAATATAATCAGAAGGATGGCAGATTATTACTTTTGGCATGACAGGTCACAACTTTTCCCATACCTTTTTAAATTTATTTCAGCAAACAGCAGTGGTGGTTTTTGGGTTCAAGGGGATATTATTATTATGTCTTCCCTGCTTGGCCTTTTTCATGGATGCCAACACTGAAGAACCTGGAATTTCCACTGACAGAAATTAGGTGCCACTTTTAAGTGAGAGTAATTCCTTCTTTCTCAAAGCATGGGTCTCAGGTGGGAGCCTTGATGGAAAGGGTAATAATTCTAACCTAAGAGATCACATGTTATATAATTCATGCATTTGATTATAAGCATGTCATCTAAGAAGGCAATTGAAATTGTTATTCTTTTGGTGCTTTGCATATGATCACATTTCCACTTCAAAGACAAATTTAAGGGCATGATTTTATCTCAGCCTGTTTGAATGCTACCCCTGTTAAAGAGCTAGGTGGATTGCTTTTCTAGTAGTAAAATAAGCTTTTGGAGAAAGATAAGTGGTTTAAAATATTTCAGAGAAGTCTCAACTACTAGTAGTTATCAGCAATTGTGGGGGTGGGGGTGGGGGCTTTTCAAACTTTGACGCCTGATATTTGTTTTCTCTTGAACTAATTCTAGAGCCTCAGGCTGAATTCTGAAGAGTCCTGTAAGTTTCAGTGAATGCAACAGACACACCTATACTATACACATTTCTTTTCCTTTCTTTTCAAAAAACAGGACATTGGAATGAGTCTCAACTCTATCTTAATGTAAAGACAGTTTTTTAAAAAAAATAATAAACTGAGGCATGTTAAAATTTTTAAGTTTGTGCAAAAATCGACTGAAACCAGTCAATGCCAAACTATAAGTGGTTAGGAGCAGTCCACCAACAGGAGCTCAGAGAAATGTTTTTATAGTGAAAAGGCAAAATCAAGGAAACTGGGTTGGCTACAGCTTCAAGCCTAGTTTGCTGTTTGTGCTTGGTTGTCCTTAGCGTTTTGATTTGGTAGCCTTGAGGAATTTACAGGTTTATATTTTGGTGTGCTTATGTAGACTGTGGCTACCTCTCTAATGACCTTATTTAATTAATTGAACAATTCTAGGTTAAACGTTCTCCACTGTGGCTACTGTAATTCAAAATTATCTTTAGTAAGGTGAACCTGCTTGTGCAGCTTCAAAACAAAATTTTATTCACCTGAGGCCTCGCACTGGCCCCCCCCCAGTCCGGTTTCTAAGACCTTGCACTGACAGAGTCCGATTCCAGCTGGTTTCTGGACCCACACCGGAAAAAGATTGCTTAAGTCTGAAAGCACAGAAGGCAGAAGCTGCGGAGCCAGAGTCTGAGAGACCTTACCCACAACCTCCAGCAACAGTGAAGCAGCGGGACTGCAAGCCACTCAGCAGGTACCTTTACCAGGTTGCTCCTTGCTCCTGGGTACAGTCGGGCCTCCTTTGGTTCCCTCTTCCAACAACAGAACTATCAAAGATAAACTGAAGCATATTAAAATTTTTTAAAGTTTATTTGACCAAAAATAGATTTAAATGGGGCAGTGGCAAACCGGAAGTGGTTAGGAACCCTTCACCAGCTCCGGAGCTGGGAAGAGACTTTTCTAGAGGAGCCTGAAACAAAGTAAGGAAATTATGGATTGCCCAAAGCGTAAAGCCTACTGGGCTGCTTGTGCTTGTTTGTCCTTAGAGGTTCGATTTCATAACCTTGAAGTATTTTCCAGGCTTGCATTTTGGTTTGCTTGCATAGTCCGCGAGGGCAGTAGAACCACTAAGGTCAAATGACCTACTTGTTTCATCAATTTAACAGCTCTTAATCATTAGGAAGCTGAATCTGGAGTAGTTTTTGTCTTAAGAATCAAAACTACTAGCAAATTCTCATGTACTGCTGTCATCTTTTGAAGTAATAGAGTATCCTCTTTGACATCAGTGCAGAAGTGGATGGACCTGGCCAAATCTCAGATCTGATTCCTTTTAATGGCAAATAAGGGTGGGAGGGCTGGGGAAGGGCCCTGTTGGCTGCAGGGGACTGACCTGTAAAAATGAAGAGAGCCTGGGAAAGGATCTTGTTTTGTTGTGTTTTGTTTTTGTTTTTGATCATTCTAAAACTTGCTGTATTTGCAAGAAGGGAAGTTATAATGAGGTGTACTTATTTACTCCTTTTTGACAAAGTACTTTGAAATTCATGTGCTTTATTGTCAAATGGGTGGACTCATACCACCCGACAGTGTATTTGCAAGTGCCCAAGCTATTGTGTGTGTCTGATGACATTACCACCTGGCTGTGAACGTCCCTTTGGAGTCTCACATAGGAGATGAAGACACTTTAGCTTTGTCTTTTAGTACTTCAGTAACTCAGTTCCCTTGAGTCATGTGAGAGGTTGACTTGATGGTTATCAAAATATACTTGGAATTGAATAGAGTCATGGTGAGATGTTTGGGCAAGAAACAGTTCATATGACTATTTAAGATATCTAACTTAACCTGCTGAATTATACAACTCTGGTTAATTTTATGTAATTCTGGTGTCTGTAGAGATGTTGAATATCTAGTTAGGATGAAGAACAACAAAAATTGGGACTTATTTTTTTGGCTTCTGCTTCCAAATTGGTAAATTAAGAATATTTGCAAAGCAAAATGTGTTCAAAGGAATTCTGTATTAGTTTACCCACAGTTTTATTTTACTCCATTATTGGAAGTTAAAGACTGTATAGGAGATGAGAATAAAATAGAGATTAAGAAGTTTTCAAAAGTTATCCTCAAATAAAAACAAAACATTCTTTTAGAATGTTACTAATTCTAAAGAACAGCTACTTTTGCCCCAGGGCAAAGACCAGAAAATTTAGTTCCCACAGCCTTAGAATCTGCCTTCTATGCCAGTGTTTTCCAGACTTTGGTGGCATATTTCTATCAATAAGTTTTTTGAGCAAACACTTCCAATGAATGTATATTAATTTCTTCTGAGATATTATTTTCATGTATTTTATTAGCTAATTTCTCAAGGCTCAATATAATGTTAACAGTGAGAGTTAGCTTTAACAACATTTGGCATTATTGTATATACATATTTCAAATAGTCTTGACAAGTTTTTTGGCCAAATTCTTGTCAAATCTGATAAAGCCTCCCTGATATAACTCATGATGTGGCTGATGAAGGGCTTATTCTGGAAGTTGTCATCTGCCATGTTCTTGTTTGTTTCTTGCATTGTAAATGTCTTAAATCCATGTTTTTGGTTTTTGTGTTTGTTTTGTTTTTTTTTGCAGCGATCCATATAAGCCACATTTTCTAAAGACTATTTCATTAAAAAAGATAAAATGTAAAATGCATCCATTTTGATATAGATAAACTACAGTCGTCTGCACATGCTGAAAGCAAACCAGGAGTCTGGGAGCTGTTGGGACTCCCACACTGTCCTCAGGTCACCTCAGATCCCAACCGTGAGAGGACATTGATGCCACTGGAGGACAAGGCACCAATGTCAGTCTGTAGTAAATGTTTGTGAAGGTTAATTTCCTCCTCCTCCTTTTAGATGAAATGTAAATATAAAATCTCATTTTATTTTCCCACATCCTATAAGGTCACCTTGCATACATTTAAGGATCACTGTCAATTTGATCCCTAACTGTGAAATCGCTGTTGTACACTATTTTCCTTTTTCTACCTCTTCTCAACCATCTTTTTCCATAGGGTAAAAGTTTGCTATAAAGTTCCTTTCCCCTCTGCTCCTAGTTATTCAAGGATGCCCACCTGTGCCAGTGGTTCTGCGTGATCACAGGCATGCTTCATTTTATTACGCTTCGCTTTATTGTGCTTCACCAGGGTAGCATTTTTTGCAAACTGAAGGCAAGGCCCTCCACCAGCAAAAAAGATTATGACTTGTTTTAGTGATACTTGCTTGATTACGGTTATCTGGAACTGAACCCGCAATGTCTCTGAGGTATGCCTGTATAGTCCTGGTTAGCTGTTGTCTAAAAATTGAGGGTGGTGGGTGGAGGAGACATATCAGTATTCCTGAAGCCATAGTTCTGGCCCTTGCTACCTCTCACTTGTTCTCCTATAATGACCGCCTGTTTATCTTCACTTCCAAAGCCTCCTCCTCCAGGTCAAGTTGGAGGCATTGTCCTCAAGGATTGGGACATGCCTTTTGATATGAAGGACTGGAAGAAAAGGTGATTAAGATGGGACAAAAGAAGTTGAGGGAGTTACCCTGTACTGACTTCTGCCAGCAAAGTAGAAGATCTGTCCTGCCTTGAGTTAAGGACTGTTACAGGTTTGGGTTATTTGAGTTGAGTAGAGAAGGTTTGAAATAGTTGAGACCATGTGTTTACAGTTACCCAGATCTACAGGGTGCAGCCTGGTTGAACACGGGACAGGAAGTTCACTGATCTGGAGCTGGGGTTTTTTCAGTCAGGTTCAACAGAAAGATCAAGGGATTAGAGCAATGGAAAGTAGCAGAGGGCGAAGGATGGGTTTTTACCTCAGAATCAGTCTTCAGGTACTCAGAAGAAGGGCTTTGGGAGCAAGGCACTGTGGGTGAGAGTTTGGATCAGGGTGGTAGAAGGCTAGAACAGCCTGGATAAGCACACA